GAAGCGAACCCGCTCTCTGCGGTTCGCGCGCGAGAATTGGATCGAAAAAACGTGGAAGTGGTTTTGCGGATTGCTCAACATAAATTTCACCCACCACAAGTTTCGCCCAAGAGACAAATGGCCAGTGCAGCACCCTTTCTAGGTCCTCCAGTAGAGAGGTTAGAATGAGGGTGCCCCCTTTTTTCTGTAGTCTATTTTAGTCGGGGAACCGAATCTCCCCCCAAAAAGGGGCGAGCAAGGGCACCTAGCTGGGGGAGCCTAGTAAAGGAAAGGCACGCAAAACAAGGGTCGTCGCGGTTTCTTTGAGTTCTCAAAATTGGCGGTGGTGGCGTTTTTGACAATTGAACAAATCTAGGGGTTGATTCCGTGTCCATTCTTTTCATCCATGGTTCTTTTCAAAAACCAGATCCGTTTTCTCTGGGATTCCGGAGGTTTTCTAGAAAGATTCGGATCCCTGGAAAGAATGGGGAAGGTACCCCTAGAAAAAAGGGTCCTCACGGTTTCTTTGAGTTCTCCAAATTGGTCTTGGTGGTGTCCCTTTGACTATTCATGTGGCAATTTTCTGAGCATCTGTGATGGGCCCAGCACCCAGAGCAACCTGTGGCATGAACTTGAACTGGGAACCATTCGCCCCAAGCATTCTTTAAAACAAGCTCCAAAGGAAAATGCACAAAAACAACAAACCTTGCCATACCCCTCTGTTGGAAGACTCATCTCCAATCCGCAACGACAACCTTTCAATCGAAGAAACTCGGCCTGTCTTTGACTGCCTGCGAGTTAGCCAAACAGTCGCTTTCAAAAAGCGAAACGTAACAAGGTCAATCTGAGCTACCAAGAAAATAAGACAACCACCAGCCTAAACCTGGAGCAACGTTGTGGCACTGGCCCGAACATCTCCATGTCGGTTTAGGCTAGCAACCAGCAACTAGGAAGAGACTTCTTTGGAGACATGCCGGCATCTGAACCACTGCCAACGCTTTCGCTTCCAAAGAATGCACTACAGCTAAGCATAGAACCAAACCAGCGCCCAGAGGAGTGGGCGGGCTGCATGATAATTTTCTAGAAGAGATATGAGAAACTTCCTGCTTGTAGCGGTTCCATCCCGACTAAACCGGGTCGTTGTCCTTTTGGGTGCCCCTGCCCAACCCCAAAAAATAGGGCTCGCCTCTCACCTTGTTACCCGGGTCTCAAAAAACTCGACGTGCCCCATGGTGGGGGGCCGTTGCTCCTTTGGTTTCCCCTCCCAACCCAAAAAGATCTGCCGCGCAGATGTCACCGCAAACCGCCCCAACCGCCCTGAGGCCCCTACTGCCCATGACTGGGGAGCCGGTGGTGCCCAGACCCAGGAAGACCAGCAGGCGACCTCCGAGCTGCGGCGATATTTTTTGGGGGGGGGTCAGAGAAAAAAAAAACTACTGTGGATGGACAAAGTTCATTTCGCACCGCTTTGAAACCATGATCGTTGAAACCATAACGTGTGTTGCTATATTTACAGAGGGACCAACTCATTCCCACACCACCACCAAGAGGTGGTCGGTCGGTGATTGTGTTGGTCGGATTTCTTAGGTTAGGTGCGAGATGCATTTCGTAACCATCCACAGTATGGCCGTGGCTTCCTCCCACAAACATAGCATCTGTCGCAACGTGTGAGCACCAGCGAGTAGTAAATATGGCTTGGGATGCGGCGAATCTCTGGATCCACACGTGTAGAATATCAAACGGGTACCAAAAACTGGCTGAAAAAAAGGGACCAACAGTGGATAAGAAGCAGGTGAGATCCGCAAAAAACGCGAATTCCAAACCGTTTTCTGGAGGCTTTCCCAGTCTTCGAGGGATTTCAGGAGCGGTTCCACAACCTGAAGGGCCCCTCTGTGGCTTAGCTTGCTCCTCACTTGTGGCTGGCAGGACCGACCAGGTTGATACATTGTGAGGTGGATCCAATGTTATGAGGTATGAGAGTGATATGTATGAACAGGGAGGACCAGGTAACAATGATCAACCTGTTCATGTTACGTAACAGTTGTTATCAACATTGTTATCAACGTAGGTATGAGGTCTACTCATCTGGCCCTCCCTGTGCGCGGTAATTTAACAGGAGAAAAACAAACTTCGGGAACTGTTCCACAACCGCAACAGCGTGGATTTACGCAGCCAGTTTTGCAACCTACCACCACTTCGGTGCATCAGTGGCGGGCCGTCCAAATGGTACCCCCTGTTTTCACAGAAGTGCGAACCATTGGGCATGAGAAAAATGACCTTGACCCAAAAGGGGGCAATTCTGACCATTCTGAAGCGGGCTTGGTAACCCGGAGCCAACTGCAGGTAGGGCATGAGCGACCTGTCCCTGCCGTTTCCCTGCAACCAGAGTCTTTCTTCGGAGAAAAGGCCCCTTTTTGGGCCACAAATTAAAGATAGATTTTGGTGTTGCCCCGCAAAGGGGCCAAGAAAGGGACCATGCTGTCAAGACTTGATTCTGACCAACCTCCAAGCCCGTTCTTCTCTGATATCACAATCGTCCTTGGAGGCCTTGGTGCTTCCTCCGCGGTCAATCCAATCCACGCCCTCCGCGCGCGGCCTGTGTTGACAATGGCGGGGTTCTCCCCGAAGGAGCCCGTCAAGTAGTCCTTGGGCCGACCAAACTCCGATCCAATGACCACTGAAGGTTGCGAACCGCCTCCTGGAAAACATGAGAACGTAGGGCCAGTCGTAAAACCGCCTCCTTTTGAAACCAGGGGAAATGTAAAAAAACAAATTATTTTCAGCCGATGGAAGAGAATCGAATCGCCGTCTCACATCAGAGAAAATGTGTTTTGTCGTTTTTGACGCCCTTGGCTGTGAGAGAGGCCACGTAGCGCAAGGCCCCAGCTACGGAACAAGCGCCACCCGCTGGTATTGTGGCTATGTTGCAGCCATGAAAAAGCGTCTAAGACGAAGGGCCTGTCCTCCTTTGCTACGGAGCAGATCCGAATGTTCAGAAAGATCCTATACGACTGAAGACTGCAGGGATGGCTCTTTGCTACATCGAAGCCGCTTTGTGTCCAAAGCTGCCACTTACAGGTGTGCCGAGACAATGCGTTTGAGTGTCATTTGAGAGTCTCCCTGAGCTGGGAATGCTCCTCGTTGTGTACATCTGCTGGTTTGCACCTATCCAACCCCAAACATGTGCCAAGCCGCCTCGTTCTTGCCTAAGCGACGTCAATCTTGCCTCGTTTCCTTGAAAAAGGCCCCACTCTCAAACTGCACATGGCGGCGAAAATGTGCCGACGCTTTAACACGAATCGCACTGACTGAAATCGAGCCAGCATGTCTGAATTCCGTGTGGGCCCGCAATCTGCTCCCCGCGCAACCATTGAAAACTTATTGTAACCGACCCAAAGATCCCATGGAAAAGAGTCACTTTAGCGTGCCTGGCGTCCCCCAAAACTTCAGAACTTCCTAGGTCAAAATGGTCCAAAACCAGGACCCCCCGAGCGTCAGGCTCCATGTTAATTGGTGAGAGGAGAAATCTGGCTGAAATGGCTCTGATGTTCAATTGGAAACACCTTCAAAATGCTACAACACTTCCTGTTGAAGTGACGTCCAACTAAACTCATAGCCAAGCGGGTAGACCCTTATCATCTTGGAAGAAGTCCACCATCTCAGATGCCCAGTGGCCACGGGAAAAAAAGGCATCCTTTCTTGGTTGGTTGAGTTTAAAGGGGAACCCCAAAAGAAGGAAAAAAGGGCGCCACTGGGCAACTGGGCCATTGTAAGATGTGAAATTGTCTCCCACCCCCCACCCCCATTTGGACACATACCCAAATGCACTCCCTACATGGCGCATCATGGCGTCCCTTCATTTACGGTTGCTTCAAGTCTCGGGGTCCATGAACAGAACGACCAAGAGAACTTTGATGGAACAACTGGGTGTGTGTGTGTGTGTGCGCGTCTTTTTTGGTACCGTTGTTGCGCTGGTGCTTTTCATGAGAGGCGATGTGCTTTTAGGGAAATCAATGGGAAACCATCCCATGTTGAGGGTCCGAATCCGAATCCCCTTTGAGACCAAAAAATTCAGCGAGCGCATCTGGTCATCGATCTTTTTTGGCCCGAAGGGCCGTGGTGAAGCGGGTCACCACGGGCTCCACGTCCAGCGTCCCGGCCTCTCAAGAAGGAGAAACGCCGAGGCTTCCTCCCACAAACATAGCTGTGGAGGTGCAGGTGATTCCATGGCAACTTCTGAGCACCGCTTCCTCATTAATTACATTCATTCCATGCACAGGTGTCGTGAGTTTGTTACACAAAGCAAAGCTCTCGGACCAGGTCGATGGACAAGATCCGCTAAGGCCACCAAAGAAACCATCATTGAAACGTACTTTGCAAGGGGAATCGATTCCGAAATCAGGGTTTCTGAGCCAGCCACAATAGCTTCTGTGGTTTGGTACCTGGACAATCAACTTCCTCTTCAATGGTGCTCCCTTTGATCTAATCCAGACCACCCAGCAACACGTCCCCGAACAAAACATGCGCACAACTCCAAGCTGAACCAATGTGCTCCTCTGGCCCCGTTCTGTTACCATCAAAGTCATGGTAGGTTGAAGGGAAACTGAGCCGTTTTCTGACTTGAGGGTGGGTCAAACATGGGTATCCATTTTGGAACCCTAGTAAATGGAACCAAGGACTAAAGCCTGCGGTCCCCTGGTGCAAAAGTTTTGACCCATACCCACTTGGAAAAGCTCTAGAAGAGACAACAAAAATGACCCCAGCTCATCACCAAGTCCTGCGTTTTAATCCGCCTTGAACCAGTACACGCTGTTGAGGCAGTTCTCATCGCAGTAGCAGACGTCGTAGGTAGCCGCGATCATCACTCGATTCTCGTAGCTCGCATCCACTTGAACCTCGCACGAAGCGAGATGTTACGTGGCAGTATCATCCAAAACAGGAACATAAGGGTATGGGTCAAAATTAAACCACCCACAACCATAACATAACAAACAGAGGAGGTGATAAGCAACAAATGGAGTTTGCGAGTGATGGAGACACTGAAAAAACATAATTAGGTTCCTGATCCAAACTTGCACGGATCAGAATGACAGTCGGCCATGAGGTGTAGTTGTTGGATGGGATGCTCTTTGGGCTCCTCTTGAAACCGATCAAGCTGCCACCAGATGTGGAGTGTGGCAAAGTGAGAAATGAGTCCGCAGTGTGGCCCCGTCAAAATTTACCCGACCGAACATGTTGTATATCCCCTGTTGCGTATTCTTCTGATCGTGGCCACTTGTGTTGTGGGTGTGGTGTCATGCTTACCTATTAGTACAAGTATGTATGCATGCCGCTTGTCATCAGCCTCCTGATATCATCATTAACACCATCCTCAGTATTGCCGCCTTTGTGTCATGCACACATGCTTCTGCGCATATCGTATTGCGGCTGAATGTAATCCTGGCACTGCAACAGCCAGGACACCCATCACTGGGTTCGCACAAATCCAAAGTTGATCAATTGACTGGTGGGTTCCAATCAAATCAGCATGGGTCCAAACAAGTTGGTTTGATTCAGGGGTCGCACCTCTGCTGTCGTCCCCAATGGCATGGCTTGTTTCTGATCAGGTTCCAGCTTTGGGATTGCTACAGTGGGACCCTGTGCCCCGCAATTTCTCACGGTTCTGAAGCCCATTTACTTCCCAAACCTGGACCTCAATCCAAACTCGCCCCAAGAGATCTCAAAGAAAAAAACTGCTCGGGGAGGCGTTCGGATGCTGCAAAGCCACCAAAAGGTGGCTTGATACGCCAGGGTGAGGTAGATGGCACTAGTCCCTTGTGGGGAAATACAGGGCATTACACCAAACTCGGGGACTTGCGGCATGATGTTGCACCACTCCCTATATGGAAACACAAATACTTGGCAGAACCAGTTGGAGGCGCGCCATCTTTCACCCAACTTGTAGGCTGTTACCATCGAACCAAACAGAAGTTGAAGCCAAACTGGGCCTCGGCTTCCCTGCCAACAGGTTTTCACTTTTCCTGGGTCGAATGGAAATCCCAACTAAAAACCGCCAAAAACCCACTAAAAACCTAATCCCCCACTAAAAACCCGCCAAAAACCCACTAAAAACCTAAGCCCCCACTAAAAACCCACCAAAAACCCACCAAAACCTAATCCCCCACTAAAAACATACCAAAAACCTAATCCCCCACTTTCACAACCCACCAAAGACCACCAAAAGCCGGACCCAAGGCACCGGACGGTTCTGACATTTCCCCCCCCCCCACACCACGAGCCACGCGAGACGCTCAGCTCCGGGCATCCAGGAAGGTGGGGGCCTTGCCGCCCATGACCTCCTCCGGCTCGTCCCAGCCTCGGTGGCCGTCTCTCTCTTCCGTAGCTTGGATTTGTTTTTGTGTGCTTTCTACGTAGCTTGGGACGGATTTTTAGGCACCCCCCACAGAAGCTTTGGGTAGTAGCCTCTCTCCCGTGGTTCGGGGGAGATGTTTGGTTTCGGGGTAGGGGCCTAGCAATCTGGTAGTTCTCTGTGGCTTCTTTGTTCTACCTAGCTTGGGGCACCCCCCCCCCAAAAAAAAAGAAGAAGCAAGAATTGGACGAAAGAGGACTCGGACCCCCAACAGGGGCCGTCAACCATTTCGGGCTGACTCTCGCGGCATCCAAACAAGGGCCATGCGAGTCATCATCAAAACCTGGCACCAAAATGGCCTGCCCAGAACCATGTCGGAAAGAATTAACCAGGCGGATATCCGCACCCATTTATTGCGATCGGACTTTCCCTTGCTAACCTTCATGTACCCGAATCGGTTTTGAACAATTGGCTCATGGTGTCTTTCTGACCAAGGGCCGTAAGGAACACATGCAAAAACAGGTGGAGTCCTGTGGATATCGCATTCGGCTATAAGAGATGCTAAGGTACTTGCAAAACATGTCCTGCATGCTTTGAGCCTGCCTCCACTATGTCTTGCGCAGGCAGAAAGAAGGGAACAAGCTACCAAAGGGCTGGGTTGCAGGAAAAAAAGATTGAATTTTCTGGGCAGGGTGATTTTTCAGAGAGTCCTCCAAACGTGTTGCGCCCATTCTTTGCACGAAGCTTTTTGGATCTCGCACTTCCCAAATTTGGCCGCTGGCAATGCGCCAGGGTACGACTAGATCAAGAGCTGGGGGGGGGGGGTCTTGTTTGGGTGGTACCCCTCCGCCCCTTTCTGCTGTCTTAAGCCAAGACTCAAAACCCGCTGCGCCATGTTGGGGGGCTCCGAGAGAAATTCCACGGCGAGCCGCCCGGTCGGCTTCGCCCAACGCCCCCTGAACCGGAGAACCGGAGATCTGGGGCTCCCGGCAGGTGGAGGGACCCACGCAGTTGGTGGGCCCCAAGTGCCCACCCAGCACCTGCCACAGAGCGAGAGCAAGCTCACCCTCCCCCACCCCCGAAATCAGCGGTTGCAAATTTGTGTCTTCTGGAGGGGGATCCAAGGTATGCACCAAGACACGTTGTGGCAGCAGTTGTCACGTGGGACGTGTGTTCGTGTGCGCCAAGTTCCGCAGCATGGTCCCTGAGGTCCCTACCCAAGGAAAGGGAGTAGAATGACCTGCTCCAGTCCCTGGTTTTCAAGAGGCAACTCAGTCAAGATGAAAACTGCCTTCAAAAGGAAATATAGAGACTGACTGCAAGCCTGGAACCAGAACTGGAGTTTGGCCTCTTGCCGGCCGAGCCTGCGCGCCCTCCAGCACAGTGGCAGCTTGGGGCAGGAAGCGGCCTCAGTGAACCAAAAAGCCCTCAACATGGGGCACCCAGGTTCTCTTTCCGGTGCCCCAGACCCTTTGGTGGACCTGGTGGACATCATTGAGGGGATTCCCAACCATTTGAGTAGTCCTCCTGAAAATTCCGCGCCAGTCCCCAAAACCCGGAACGCTACCTCAGAGCCACCCCAAACCACCCCCGGAAGCCTCCTCCAGGCAAAGACCCCGCAGCCGGGGAAACAATGCCTGGCTCCATCCCTTCGAAATGGCGCCTACAGGTGCACTCACAGGTCCGGACCCACCCCAGACCACCCCGGAATGTGAGGGGAAAAATCCTCTGGCTCCATCCCTTCAAAATGGCTGTGGGTCAAAATTAGTCACCACCAGGAATTGGACCGCAGGTGTTGGTCCATGTTTCCATCTACCAGGGCAACCCATTCTGGGGTTACCCCATTTTTGACCACCAGCCAAATGGCTGTGGCTCAAACAATCGGTACCAAAATGGAACCCTGGTAAGTGGAAACATGGACCAAGACCTGCGTAACCCCTCCTGTTCAATTTTGACAACCACAGCCAAATGACCTCTCTGCCTCCATCCGCCTGGCGCAACATCCGAGGCTGCCACATCCGGCATCGGGGTCGTAGTATGGCTGAGCGCGCGTCGCATGGCTGACTTGGCTATGGGTCAAAACCCCAATCGGTTAGCCCCCAGTGAACATCCGATTCAAGGTGGTGAATTCACCTACCCACCAACATGGGATCCCAACACGGATTTGACAACCACAGCCACTTCTCTCTTTCCGAGTCCCGAAACGCGCTCACAAGAGCTTGCGTGCTGTAGATCCCCCAGCAAAAAGTTTAACTCTTTGCTGGTTGAAAGGAAATATGAGGGGAATCCAAAAGTTATCTCCGCAACATCTGCAACATCCGCCATATATTTGAGCGGAATTTTGTTGTCTAAAGATCCCACCCAATAGCAGCAGACAGCGGGTGTTTAAGACATGGAGCCTCTGGTGCCGACTCGCCTTTTCGCACCTCGTGTGCCCTGGAAACTCAGACGGGTTCGGCTCGGGTTCGGCTCGGCTTTGAAAGGTCTCGGGTTCCGAGGTCAGCCAAAAAAAAACATGTTTTTCTCCGAAAGGTCCCAACATTCATATGGGTGTGTCTCAAAACAACCCCTAACTTGATCATGTCCCTGAATTAGTTTGCCTTGAAGCCACAAAAACACGGGTGCGGGCGACGCAACACGGGGCAATCACAAAACCCCGCTTGCTTTGTTTGTTTCCTCTGTGATCTGCTCAGGCAACCCCTCAAACATCTTCAAGGCAAAAAACGAGCGACACAGACGCCCCCGAGAGCCCACCGAGCCGGCCTTGTAGCTCTGATCCGAGGATCTGATGATCTTGTATCTCGAGCTCGTGCCCGTCTGCCAGGAGGCGCTATGGATGAATTCTTCTTCCATCCCTTTTGCTGCTGCTCGTCCCTGTCAATCAACCCAAAGAAGCCTTGGGAAAACCACCTTGAAAGGTCAACTTGCTTAGGCAAACTTGTGACGTGTCTGGGCGTTTTTTGTCTGACCCCGGTCAAAACATGCCAAAGGGCACGGCTCCCCATCTTGAAAAGATCCCAGCGCTCAAGCCCTGGGCAGCAAAGAGTTAGCTCAGACCATAAGCCATATCAAACGGACCTGAAACTCACACCCCTCCGTCTCTTCCGCCGTTTCTCGCGGGGATGGCATCTCCCATCCGAAAGCGAGCCGGGCGCGCCGAGCAGCCCCCAGACACGGAGTCCGGGGCCTTGTTCAGCACTCCGTCGTGGCCGCAACTCGGAGCTCGCGGCGAGCTTTGAGGGTACTTGGTTTGTCTCAAAGCGGAACCCTCGGAACAGGTGCCAAACCTCGTTGAGAGAACCTCAAACGCAAGACAAAAAGAAGAGAGCCAAGGTAGCCTCTTCAGATTGGTTTGTCTCAGAATAGTGGGGTCCATCCAAACAGGAAACCCCGGTGAAGTCCCTTTAAACCAACCACAACAAGGAAACCAAGGAAAAAATGACACCCCCAGCTTGGTTGAAAGGGAAACCGGAAGAAACCCATCATGTTGAGGTTGGCCTGCGTGCCAACAAGCACAGCACATTGAAACTGAAACGAGTTGATGTGCGGTTGACAACCTGTTCAAGCAACCCCTTTGGAACCCCTCCCAAATCGTTCCTCTTTTCCAGCTTCTCTTTGAAACCAGCCAAAAAGCGGCTCTACTGCTGACCCCCCTGGCTGGTTCTCAGTGGGGCTGAGTAGGATTATTGGGGTTGGACGCTTTTGGGCGGATTCACAACAGCTGACTCAAGTCTGTCGGAAGCCATGGTCCCACGAGCCCTCTCAACTTCACCTAGATTGAGAATAGACCACAAACCCCTGAAAAATCCATGTCCCGTTCTAGCGGGGCATCCGCATCACTTTTCCGGCAGACCCCCCTATATACTTCTCAGGACATCTCCGAAGAAAGAAAAAAACAAACGCGGAGAGCAAGGCGCTTTTTGAGGGCCCGGCTTCACCACGAGCCCAAAGCGCAGCGTGGGGTACACGGTGATGTCTCTCTGGGCACCGGGGGCGCGCTGAACGGCTTATATAACAGCAAGCATTCAGCAAGCAGGACCCGAACTTCTGCCCGCAACACGGGGATTCTGTCTCATAAAAGGGACCCCGAAAATTGCTGGGTGTGCTTTTGTTTCTCTTTGAAGCCATCCCAACAAGGGAACCATTGAAAAACGACACACCCACTTTTGGACCTTTGACGTGTGGGGGCACTTTGTTGGGGGAGTTTGGAGTCATTCATAAAGATTGGTGACTCCTGGTGGGTGCTTCTATGGGCACTTGCCAAGATATACTTTGCACATGACATGCCATAGCGCAGTTGCAAAGGTGCACTGTGGATCAAATACGCCAGCTCAAATTCGGCCATCTTGAAATCTGGCTGTGAGATGAGGTGAGACAGGACAAATTATCCGAATCGCCCCAGGCAGGTACTCACCAAAGCGGCGGCAACTGAGGTGCGCACACTCCCTGCTTGTCTCATCAGCGACTGCACCTTCCCAGTTCATGCAACACTGCCGCCCGCAATCAAACAACTCTAGTGTGTCTGTCTCTAAATGGGAAAACACCCAAAAAATGAATGGCGTTTTAAAAGAGAGTACCATCCAAACAAAAAACCCATAGCGATGCTGGGCGATCTGCACAAGGTACAGCAGTTCTTTGCCTTGGCTTTTGTAGCTTGCATGTTGCCGCAGGCAGGTGCTGACTTGCTGAACTGTTTTAAGGGCTTATCAAAGCCAGCTAATCTGTAGAACCAGCAGTTCTCCTGAGTGTTGCCGAAACTTGCCATCAGGCAAAAAGAACCCAGACATAGCTTTAGTCATGGCATTCTGACATGCCAACCTCCCCTTAGACCGCACGGCTGCAGCAAAAGTTCCATTCTGCCAACTTCCCTATGCTTTTCTGGCCGATTCTCATGCTTCAAAAAGGCAAACGGCAAACCCCTTCTAGCAAATAGCTCAGCCTGAATGGCCAGGTCGCCTCCCTTGAACTTTTGGAGTGAAAGCCATGTGCCCCAAAGACTCCAAGGGCACTGGAAGGAGAGTTGCAGGCGCTCAGCGGCATCCGATTCCTTGGGAGCCCCGGCGTTGATGACGATGAGCAACCCCACCTCCTGGGGGAAGTCTTGAGGAGCCTGGGCCGAGGCGACAGAACGCCGGCGAGGGCTCGCAAGTGGGAGCCGCCTCTCAGCCTCTCACTATCTCACTATGCGCATCTTGTCGTCCTCTTCTTTGACAATGCTTAGAATGAAGTGTTCATCCAAATTGACAACCTTGAGAAATCATGGCCATTGCGAAGATTCTTCGCCTGGCGGCCCCGAAAAACCAGCTTTTGCAATGGTTCGAAGTGCTGGGGTCTGCGTTCTTCCAGCACCTTGATGGGTCCACAACTTTCTGGTCTCACTTTGAGCACTGGCACATGGGCTATATATATATATAATATGTACGCCGCGCCGGGCCCGCGACGTTGTTGGAGCAAACCGTGACGGTGCCTGCGCAGCCGCTTCTCAAAACCCCTCCCCCCCAGCTTTGGCCCTCGCCTCAGTCCCAAAATCCGGCCACCTACCCACCCAACCCCAGTAGCCAAAAACCTGCGTGCTGGATGTCGGGCCTATCTTTCCTCCTAAGAAAACAGGATCCAGGCTTGACAAACATGTAACATGTGGGCTTGTGGTTTGTCTCCAAGTAGGGGATCCACCCTTACCAACCTCAAGGATGCCCACAAAAATAGACCCCAGTTGGTGCCCCCCGATGACCCTCGGGGACCTTGCAGCAGAAATACGCGGGTTGAGTTGATTGCCCTTGAAACGATTGCTGAAATATGGAGGGGGCCAAAAGTGGCGCGCGGCTTCGCAAAGAGACCCAATTCAGAGTGCACGGCCTTCACCTTTCGTCTTTGGGTCGCTCCTTTCACCGCAGCGGATTTCCGGGAAACTGCCAAGGCGAGGAAGCTGCCGTGGCGCGGGAAACGCGCCAACCGCCCCCCCCTCTCCAAGTTTCGGGGCTCCTCAGTTTGCCTGTTTTCCGTTCTTTGCTTCTGTTCTTTGCTCCTCATTCGCCTGTTTTCCTCATTTTGCCTGTTGTGAAGCTTTTTGTTTCTGTTCTTTGCTTTGCTTCTTGTTGTTGTTTGCTTGTTTTCCCTCCTCTTCTTCTTCCTCTTCTTCTTCTTCTTCTTCTTCTTCTTCTTTTTTCTTGGGGGCGGGGGAGAACGGGGGGCAGGGCGGACTGGCTCCCGCTTCCGCTTCCGCTCCCGCGCGCGCCCTTTTTATTGGCGGCCTCCATCTCCCGCGCCGTTGTCGAAGTCGAAGCCGGCGCAGTAGCAGACCTTCCAAACCTCGGACGCAGGGGTCCTTACAATAGAAACGCCTGAGCATTGCAACTTGTAAATGTTGGTGTCCAACTTTACTTTGGGTGGAAGAAGCAACATGCTTCAAATGGTTGCGAAATGGAGATCTTTGAAGGAGCCCTGGGACACCGGACAGGCCAAGCGATCTTTTCACGGCTGGCTCGTCTGCTTTTTTCATGGGAGTGGTGTTCAAGGGAAACTCGTGGGTTACCCGGGAAGCCAACAGGCTGGCCAGTCTTTGTTTGGTACCCCTGGAAACCCCATTTTAGGGGGTAGCCCAAAGGCTGGTAATGCTGGAATCCCCATTTAGGGGGTAGCCAAAAGGCTGGCTCGTCTTGCATCCCAAATAGTGGTGCGGGCGTTTAAGCGAAACTGGTGGAGGGGAAACCACCTCTTTTTTTTGGGGGGGGTAACCCAAGAAGGGACACAACCAAAAGGAAGCCAAGCCCCTTGATCGCCCCCACAGCGCTGAATCTAGCAGAGGCCAAAATGCGGAAATAGATGCATACCCTGTGCATAACCATATATGTGGCACAAACTTCTTAAAAGCCACCCCAAAAAGGGAACCCTCCCCAAAAAACACCCCCAACTCGAGAAACCCGGGAATCCCTTCTTTTGGGGGTCTGTCTTCTTTTGATAGGGACCGCTTTTTTGGGTCGGTTTTCTCTTTAGGAAGCCGAGAGATAAATCTTCGGCTCCGGCGCCTGGGCCCGGACCTCGAGACCAAAACTCCGGGCCGCCGAGCGCCGAGGTCAAAGCCGTCCTTGATGAGCCCGAAGTTGTGGATCTGCGGAGTGCCGCGCGGGGGACGGCGCGGGGTGCGGTGGTGCGGGACGCTCGTCGGTCGCTGCTTGTTTGGCAGGGCGGTGGGGGCCTACTGTGGAAGAAATCTTGCACCGCTGTGAAACCAAGGTTGCAACGATGGTTTGTTGGTATTTACAGGGAATCGAATCATTCCAGGGTTTCTTAGGCGGTGCAGAATTTCGTCCATCCACAGTGTGTCTTTTTGGAGCTTCGAACCCCCCTTTTGGTGGGTGTGCAAAGGGAAACGTCGTATCTCATTTGTTCGGTGGTTGTCAAGGGACAACAGGGTGCCTTGTACCAAATTGTTTGATGGTTTTCAAGGGAAACCAATCCTAACAGCTTTGGACCCCCCTTGTGTAATGGGAAACCAAAAGGAAACCAAAGGCATCTTAGATGCGTCGATTTTGCGAAACGCTCAGCTTCTTTTGGCAGAGAGCTTTAAGAACTCATCACGGTTCAGTTGCTGCCTCAGTTCCCTGAGGACTCTCCGAATCTGTGGATCCTCCATCCTCGCTTGTGGAGGGTTAATGAGTGGCCGACCCAATTGAACAACAGCTGAGTGTAGGTGCAGGAGCGGAGAAATTTCAGTATCCCCACCCCCTCAAAAATGCAAAATGGGTTTGGGTCAAAAGTAGGTACCCAGAAATTGGCATTGGGGGAGGGGACCCCTGGAATCTCCATTTCTGGTCTCGGTAAGAGCAAACCATCGCCTCGTAGCCGATCTCGTTGGCCACGTTGGACACCTGCGAAGTCCAGAGCTGTGAGAGAAAACCGTGGGCACGTGGTCGCGGTCTTCCCGAAACCGCGCCAGCAAACGTCTTGCTACCGTGTGGTTTGCTTCACACTGCACTTCAACGTGCTCTGATCTTGGCGCTTTTGGACTTCGTTTTGGGACCCTTGGTCTATCGGCTGATTCCCCCTTCTTTTCAACCATCGTTCTTTCCAACAACCGGATCCGTTTTCCCCTGGGTTTCCGGAGGTCCGGAAAGATTCGGATCCCGAAGGCATCCTTAGACTTGGCTCTTGCCTTGTTGTCGAAGGGCGCTGCATCCACCGAGCCGCCGCAAGACTGCGCGAGAAAAAAAAACGAGCGAGTGGGCGCGTCTTTTTCTTTTGAGGGTATCCCTCTTGGGGACAAGCGGGCAGGATCAAAAAAAAGGAAACCACACCAATCCATAATTTCAAGACAAGCCCGAGTATGAAAGCAGGAGCCGTCCTGGCTCCGTTTTTGCGGGCAAGGATGCACGGAAGGATGACAAGAGTAACCAACCGTGCCAGTTCTGACCTCTCGTCTAAACACCACTCGCACGCCGGCTTTTTCCATATTACACGGGTCTGAGTGTGACATTTGCCGCTGCTACCACTGCGTGCCCTGAACAAAGAGACACCCCCATTCTATGAAATGTCCAAGGCATATGGTGGGGGGGTTCTCCAAATAGAAATATCCTCCCCAGAATCCTTTTGGCGTCCCTCGGAACCAAGAAGGGATCCAGCATCCATTTTGAGAAACACCCATTTTCATATGTTAGGAGTGGTTTCCCTTGAACACAGTACCCTGGTGTCCCTTCAAAACCACAAAAAGAATCAGCCAACAAACCCCCAAAAAAACCGAAACCGCAAAACCCGCAAGCCGAACGCCCTCGGATCTCTCTTGGTTTCTTCCCCACGCCGCCCACGGAAAGCCATCCTGGTCCACATAGGTGAGGCTGGCCCTCCAGGGAGGCCACGCAGGATTGGGCCTGCGAGAGGAAGCGGGCGGGAGGTGTCGGGAGTTGGGTTTGGGAAAACGGTTGGCTCAGACCAAATGGATTTATGGGTATTTTGGAAACCGGGAGAAGAAGGAGTCCCTGGAAGAAAGCGGATGTGGAAAAGGTTTGAAAGGACGCCAAAGAGAAACCAACACATCTGCTTGCGATCACAAACTCTTGATTCTCCCAGCCTTACGGGTTTATGATCCCCGAAGCTAAGGGAGTCGAATCGAAGCCATTTTCACCAAGGATTCAGGGAGCTTGCCCAAACTCGTTGAATGGTTATGCGCGTGGTTGAAACTGCAGGAATGTGGAGGGAAGGCCTGAGATTTGCGTAGCACCCTTTCCTGCTTGAGGATGACGCGCACACAATTCGAGGTGCATGGAGCATTTGGTGCAATGGGTGGCTCACCTATGGGTGTGCGTGTTTTCATGAATCTTGGGGGAGCGCGTCAGCAATCTAAGGGGCAAACTGTTCATTGACAAGTGTAAGGCCTGATGCACGAAGGATCACAGCGTGCAAGACTCTCCGTTCTAATCAGCCTAGGAGCATTCCTAGGAGCATGAACTCATCCGTCACATTGCTCCTCTTGTAGCCTTGCACCTGCACGCGGCAAAATTGCCTAAGGCTCCATCCAAAAGCTCTCCGATCAGCTTGCCTGCACTTACACAACAAAAGTTGCGGCTGCAGCAGGGGTGGCTGTCTTTGTAGTCGTGTCTGATGATATGGGGTCTGCAAGTACGAGTGATTTTAAAGTTTGATAGCACCCAAAAGGGTACCCCAAAAGACTCCACATAGGTGTCTTTTCAGGGAGTGCTGTACCCATTTGCTGGCTTTGGAGGGAAACCCGAAGGAAAACCGGGGCGCGGTTTGGTGGGGGAGGGAGTTCCCAAAACGAGGCACACCTGGAATCGAATCACTTTCATGGCAGCGGATCGATCGGTTTAGGTCGAGGTCGAGCCTTTCCGGTGCACTCGCAGCCGGTGATGCTGGGAGTGATTTTGCACTCCCTGGCGGTGACAAAAACCACACAGAGATGGCAAAGCAAGCCATCTCTCAACGGCCGGAAGAGACGGGCGCTAAAAAAACTCGTGAGATTGGCTACAAGAATCAGTTGCCGTGGGCCAATGGATGCACTCATCACATTTCAAGGTGTTCCAGGAAAATGGGACCATGGAATTCCATGTGCGAACTGAATTTCTCACGAGGCATCTCGAGGCTCGCGGATCAAACCCAAAGCTTCGCACGCGCACGCGAGAAATCCGTAAGGCGCGGGCTCTCGCTTCAGGCTAGAGACTGGACACCTCAGACATCAGCAGGCGAAAGGCCCGAGCGCGTCGTTTAAAAGAAAAAAATGAAACTCCAACCCGCTCCAACTCGCCTCTATCGATCTGTTGTGCTGTTGTGTTTTCTCTTTGAAACAAAAAACAGTTTATTCAAGTTGTGTGTTTTCTTGGTTTTGTTTTGCTTTTTTGTTTCTTGGGGGGGGGGGCACTTTTACTTTTGGACCTTGCAAGAGAAAGATCGAGGAACCCCTCCGCTCGAGATGCGAAAAACCGCCATCCGACCGGGGGCGCGGCCAGAACTTGTTCGTCGTGCTCTCCGCACCAAAAACTGCAATGCTCGGATCCAGCTCCTGCGAGTGCACACGTTTGGCGTGAGCCGAGAGCGAGCGCGAGCGAGCGAGCGAATTGGTCCAAATGAACCAAAGGGACATCCACTGTTGCTGGTCCACATCTGTGTCGTGCACGCGGGTCTCAGATGAACATTGGGGAAACCACTAACACAATGATATTTTTGTCCAACTGAATACGAAAGGTTACCCATGGTTTGCGGGCCTTGAACGGAATATTGATCAACCACATGGGAACGGACCAACCCCTCGGTGCACCCTGCACCCCCCCCCCCCCGACCAACTGCGCCCGAGGCCTGCCACTGGACTCCATCCGGAGAGTAGCAAAGTCTAAAGAGCCCGGCGTTGGGGAAGGTCAGCGGGCCGAAGACGTTCCGAATGGTCTCAGCCACGCAATATGCAGGCGAGGAAAACGACGGCCACATGCCCAGCTAAAGTCCACCGACAAAAAGGGGAATGACTACGTGCTGCTGCGATCGGTAGGGAATGACTGAGACCGGGTGTTGGGAATGAACCTACAAATCCCCTTGAAGGAAACCTTCTGTTGGGGTCATTCCCACTCATTCCCTGAGCTAGCAAGTTGCATAGGGCTGTTCAAACCGAACCGAAAGGGGAGCCAATTCCCTTAAAGCAAACCATAGGAAATGAAGGGAAACCACAGTCATGAAACATAGGAAACAAAACCCTGAAAATGAGAAACCCATGGAAAAAAACAAAAAAATCCCCTTGAAGGAAGTCTCATCGTCTCATCTGCAAATCTCTCGATCGCCGACTCCGCGCCTCCGGGGTGGTTCCAGGCACCACCGAATTCTCGGCCCCATCTGAGCGAACCGAACGCGGTGGGGCGCTTAATGAGATGCGTTTCCAACGGCCACGCAAAATGCAAAAAACCAGAGCGTGGATTTTACCTTTTTGAGAAAAGGCGCCCGTTTTGGATTATATGTATAGGGGGGGGGTCCTTGTCTGACCCATCACCATTGGGGGGGGGGGGAACGCTGTACCATACATATATATATATATATATACATGTGTTTGTTTGTGTCTTTTTTTTTGGGGGGGGGCCTCTATTTTGAGACATGCCCATAAAGGTTCTCATTGGCCATCACTTGTAGGAAACAGTGCAGAGCACGAAGTTCAAGGTTCATCTCCTGGCCCACTAGGGAACGAACCCCTCACACTGTCCCGCACACGTCTTTTTTCACATCCCTCCAAAAGGAAACAGATTAACAAGTCCACCAAGTGTGCTCAAACCCTCCAACGGGCGCCTGCCTATTGCCGAAATTCACGCAAAAAGGGTCGAGCTCCCACTTCCGCCAAGGAGCTGAAGGGAAATCCCATGTAGGCATCTACTGTCTCACAGGTCTGCAACCTCAGCAAGTCCAACAGCGCTGATCACAAGCCCAAACCATGTCTCCCTGCCTCGTATTGAGAGAATCAACTACACTCCCCCAATTTTGGTTTACGTCTGTGCAAAACAAAGATCACCCACCCGCCTCTTCTCCATTTTTGGTGATCCCCGGAGTGTGGGGGTCCCCATATGGATGTGGGTCAAAAGTAGGTACCCACAATGGAACCCTGGTTTTTTGGAACCAAAGACTAAAACCTGCGTTTGTTTTTGCTTTTTTCTTTTTCGGGTGATGTAATTTTGACCCGTGCCCATATCTTGCCTTCTCTCTCTCTCTCTCTCTCGCTCAACGGCTCTCCCTCGACAGGCTCGCCATTGAGAAGCTGAGCGGACTGCGTTGACTTCATGTCGTACGGCACCTCAGGCGCTGATTTCCGCGAGTCGCGGAAAATTGCCGCGAATGTTCATTGCTGGTTTCGAATGTCAGTCAAAGATACCAAAGGTCCAGGGGTAACTTCCCCATTCTTGCAGGGATCCTTCTTTCTAGAAAACCACCAAAAACCCTGGGGAAATGGCTGGTGTTTGAAAAGAACGATGGCTGAAAAGAATGGGGAATCAAGCCCTAAAAAAGAACGGATTTCGGATTTCCTCGTTGGCTGGCAAGGCATATCAAAAGCAAAGCAACCATCTGGAGGTTCCCGACCAATTGGCTCTGTGTTCGGGGGCATCTATTTGGTGTACCGGACCGATGCATGAGCAAACAAGACCTGCAAAACTCGAAGAATGATACCGTCCCAAAAAGCCATCGAAGACCCCATGTTCGTCCACCGGTCTGATGCAAAGTGGATTTCCCGTTGGCTTCCTTTAAGATGACCTAAAGAAACCAAACGACACAGCATCTCTATACTGACAAATGGGTATGGGTCAAAATTAGTCGCCACCTGGGGACCGCAGATTTTAGTCCTTGGTTCCATTTACGAGGGCAACCCATTTTGGGGTTACCCTATGTTTGACAACCACAGCCAAATGGTCCAAAACCGCTTCGAAGCGCTTCGTCCCGCGGCCCGCGGCGGGATCCAGCAGAGCCAAGGCGCAAGTTTCGCTCGGATGAGTCGTTTGTCCATACCCAGGCCGGACCTCGGATTTCGCGGTGAATCGCGTTTCTCGCGGCTTCGGGCGCGTCAACGTCTCGAGGCAAGTTGAAATGTTGCAAATGAACCCTGATTTTGATTTGAAATGTTGCAAGGATTTTGATTTGAAATGTAGCAAGGATTTTGATTTGAAATGTAGCAAGGATTTGAAATAACTGGTTTAGGGCTTTCAGCATTCCAAACTCCCGCCCATGTCTGCAAGTGCCAATGGTTCGAGGCCCCCACAATGCATGAATTACAAAGCGGTTGTACACTACTCCTGCTCTCACATTCACCTGGCCATCCGACTGATCCGGTCAAAACCACGAAAACGGCTCTCTCGGTTCATGTCGGACTCGCGAGAAAAGACGCACAGAATTATTGCAAAAAAGAACTAAATGCCTGCAAACACCTTGCAGCTGTAATCCTGGACAGGCTAACGTGGCTTCCCTGCATCAACCTCAAAAATTCCTTGACGTGCTATCAGCTTGAACAACCCTCTTCACAGCTTGTTCAGCAACTTACCAGATCAAATACTGTGTCATCCTTGCACTCCTATCAACTATGTGGCTCGGCAAGCAACTCAACATCAAGCTCTTCATGCTTGGCGCAGTGCTATCAGCTTGAACAACCCTCTTCACAGCTTGTTCAGCAACTTACCAGATCAACTATGTGGCTCGGCACGCAGCTCAACATCAAAGCTCTTCATGCTTGGCGCAGTGCTATCAGCTTCAATAACCCTCTTCATGGCTTGTTCAGCAACTTACCAGATCAAATACTGTGTCATCCTTGCACTCCTCACATTGTGTGTCAATCAACTATGTGGCTCGGCACGCAGCTCAACATCAAGCTCTTCATGCTTGGCGCAGTGCTATCAGCTTGAACAACCCTCTTCACAGCTTGTTCAGCAACTTACCAGATCAAATACTGTGTCATCCTTGCACTCCTCACGTTGTGTGTCAATCAACTATGTGGCTCGGCAAGCAGCTTAACATCAAGCTCGGCGCAGTGCTATCAGCTTGAACAACACTCTTCATGGCTTGTTCAGCAACTTACCAGATCAACTACTGCTTCATCCTTGCACTGTCTCCTCGCGTTCTTTGTCCAGCTACTCTGTCCACCATGAGTTGAACATCCAGCTCTTGCATGCTTACCGCAGTGCTATCAGCTTGAACAACCCTCTTCACAGCTTGTTCAGCAACTTACCAGATCAAATACTGTGTCATCCTTGCACTCCTCACGTTGTGTGTCAATCAACTATGTGGCTCGGCAAGCAGCTTAACATCAAGCTCGGCGCAGTGCTATCAGCTTGAACAACACTCTTCATGGCTTGTTCAGCAACTTACCAGATCAACTACTGCTTCATCCTTGCACTGTCTCCTCGCGTTCTTTGTCCAGCTACTCTGTCCACCATGAGTTGAACATCCAGCTCTTGCATGCTTACCGCAGTGCTATCAGCTTGAACAACCCTCTTCACAGCTTGTTCAGCAACTTACCAGATCAAATACTGTGTCATCCTTGCACTCTTCACGTTGTGTGTCAGCTTAACATCAAGCTCGGCGCAGTGCTATCAGCTTGAACAACACTCTTCATGGCTTGTTCAGCAACTTACCAGATCAACTACTGCTTCATCCTTGCACTGTCTCCTCGCGTTCTTTGTCCAGCTACTCTGTCCACCATGAGTTGAACATCCAGCTGATGCATGCTTACCGCAGTGCTATCAGCTTGAACAACCCTCTTCACAGCTTGTTCAGCAACTTACCAGATCAAATACTGTGTCATCCTTGCACTCCTCACGTTGTGTGTCAATCAACCATGTGGCTCGGCAAGCAACTCAACAGCAAGCTCTTGCATGCTTGGCGCAGTGCTATCAGCTTGAACAACCCTCTTCACCGCTTGTTCAGCAACTTACCAGATCAAATACTGTGTCATCCTTGCACTCCTCACGTTGTGTGTCAATCAACCATGTGGCTCGGCAAGCAACTCAACAGCAAGCTCTTGCATGCTTGGCGCAGTGCTATCAGCTTGAACAACCCTCTTCACCGCTTGTTCAGCAACTTACCAGATCAAATACTCTGTCATCCTTGCACTCCTCACATTGTGTGTCAATCAACTATGCGGCTCGGCAACCAGCTCAACATCAAGCTCTTGCATGCTTGGCGCAGTGCTATCAGCTTGAACACCCTCTTCACAGCTTGTTCAGCAACTTACCAGATCAAATACTGTGTCATCCTTGCACTCCTCACCTTGTGTGTCAATTAAACTATGTGGCTCGGCATCCTGACGTTGTGGGTGTCAATCAACTCTGTCACCATGTGTCGTCTGCTTTCTCGGCAAACAGCCCAACATCAAGCTCTGGCATGCTTGACGCAGTGCTATCAGCTTGAATAACCCTCTTCACCGCTTGATCAGCAACTTACCAGATCAATTACTGCTTCATCCTTGCACTGTCTTCTGACGTTGTGGGTGTCAATCAACACCGTCCACCATGTGTCGTCTGCTTTCTCGGCAAAAAGCCCAACATCAAGCTCTTGCATGCTTGACGCAGTGCTATCAGCTTGAATAACCCTCTTCACCGCATGATCAGCAACTTACCAGATCAACTACTGCTTCATCCTTGCACTGTCTCCTCGTGTTCTTTGTCCAGCTACTCTGTCCACCATGAGTTGAACATCCAGCTCTTGCATGCTTACCGCAGTGCTATCAGCTTGAACAACCCTCTTCACCGCTTGTTCACTAACTTACCAACGCCAGACTGCGCATGCCTACTCAACTGCGCAGTGCCACTTGTGGGCTACTCATGTTTTGTTTTGGGGCTTTGCCGTTTCGAGAGGGACAGCGGGGGCGGCGCGAGCATAGAGCTCCCGGTTGCCCCTTTCTGCCCTCTTCCCAGCCTGCAGTGGAATTGACAAAGCTTTGGGTCTCGCTCGCTGGGGACGTGAAGGTTCGCGCAAGGAAGCGTGAAACCAAGCATTTGCATGGGGTCCAGTAGACGCCAAAACATGGCCTTTGGGGCTCCATGGTTCAGGGAACGCGTGAAAATTTCAGCATTGTGGCACTAACACTCATGCTGCCCTTTGGCAGAAACTGCAATGCACCGAAGTTGTCCAAATTGTTCCCATGTGTTCCCAAGGAGATGTCTCATGAGGGAACCCATGAAGTGGCTGGTTTCCCTTTGCAAACAAACCAC